CTGTTCAATCAAAACAAGCTATGTCTTTTAGTGAAAAGCAGCAATACTCAGGAATTATGTGTTTACTATTTATCTTTATTTATCGCTGCGTTTGGAACAAAACCTTGTATCTCCATTGTATTCTCCATCTTATTTTTCAGTTTTTGACAGAACTCAAAAAGGTCTGTTGTCCTTTACATTGTGTGTAAATCTGAAGATGAATGGACTAAAAGAAACGGCCCAAAGAGATTTGGAAAAAAGTCTGGTTCCACTCACTTTATTAAAAGTAAAGTATGTTTTTTCCTTCTCCTGTAAAGTTAGCATTTTGGAGATACGAGGTTTTGTTCCGACAGCAGCAATATGCTAACCTCAAATTCATCTGATCCACGATTCTGTGATATACAGAGAAAATATCATGATACTGAATTTCAGCCGCCACTACTTCCAAAACAATTCGGCTACAGGTCCACAGAACCAAGTATGACTACCAGAATGACCCAACCTCCCGGAAATAAGACAAAAAGATCAGCTCATTCTCACTTATAAACTTCCGACTAGGACTTAAACAGTCATGTATAATACATAGAGGGTGAACCAGCTGACCACAAACTGGTAAAAATCAGAAAACATTAAAGCTCTTGACAAACAAGTAGGTGAAGCATGAATGTCCCCAACACACTACAGGACACGAATCACCTGGTTTGGTAATTAAATCTGCTTAAATAATCAACAAATACTGTAAAATCTCTGCAGGACTCATTTACACCCAGCATGTCAGAACTGGATTACAGTAGAACTATAATAATCAGGGATGCACAGTGATATCGGAATCATATGGGCGTCTGCAGATAACTGCTGAAAAAATGCGTCATCAGAGAGACGTTTACATGTGACCAACCGATAGTTGATGTATGTATTTTACTCCAGAAGCGCAGAATGTTTAGGCGACACTGGGATACGGCGCTAAGATATCTGCATTTACTCGTTTTGCTGCATTTGTTACACTACAGAAGCAATTACACTTCTCTGTGGTGGGGCTGGGCAACATGACGATATTTTATCACTATTGTGATATATTATGTCACAACATGCTTTTCTGAGCATATCATGGACATCATTAGTACTTAACGAACACTTTTAACGGACATTTGCTCTTGAGAAAGGTCCCAAGAAAAAGTCTAAAAGAGATTCATGATGTGATGCTAAACCGCAGAATTGTTGAGGAGGGTCTAACTGCAGCACCATGGAGGGGGTTTCTGGGATGCAGACACACCGCCATTGCCACCGCCACCGCCCCCGTCCCCACCCCCAGGAACGCCCCCTCACGTGCTCACATGACAGGCAGGTGGGCTTTGGAGTAAAAGCCGCAGTAACGTTCCTGAGTAAACAGAACAGCACGAAAAAGATGGGGAAGATTAATAAGGCTGAGATTAACGAGTGCTTTCATTACAGATTGTGACGTCGGTAAGTTACTGTTACATTAACGTAGCTCCATAGTCAATATCTATCCAGTTCAAATCGGGGATCATAAAACCGCGAGACAGTCCTCTTTAGAAGTCATCAAAAGCTATACATTCGCACATATTTGTTTTTAAATGCCAAATAATCATTAAGTAAATGTGTCGAAACAATATTAATTAAAAACGAGTAACGTCTTTACAAATACTGGCGTATTTTCACCATTAAGCCATATCCACCAATTAGAGAGGCCCTTCTGCAGACATATCGGCCAATGAAAGATGAGGGGGCGTTCCTGATGTGGCCGTTCTTGTGTTACGGAATCGCTTTCATTGCAGTTTAACACTATTGGGGGAATTGTTTGCGCCTTTGTTTTGAGAAGAAATTTCTTCTTAAGAACGGATGGTGAATGAGGCCCATTGATTACAAATCATTATAGTTGTAGGGTTACAATTATTTTTAATATTACAGTATTTTATATGTGGCTCTATAGATTATATTTTGTCTGTTCCAAGTTATTTAGTTTTTCTGACATTTAATATCAGGATGCATATCGTATATCGCGAAAATGTCTTTGAGTACTGAGATATAATATTTTTGCCATATTGCCCATCCCTACTCTGCAATGCCAATCCAAGTAGATATAGTCCCGATTCCCACATTTTATTGATGTTTAAGATTCGGCATTGGCAAAAATGTACATAAACATATCGCAAAAACGTACATAAAAATATCGCAAAAATATCAGTCCACAATTCCTGTATCGGTTCATCCCACATTAATAATTTCAGTGCTCAGACAGGATGGATGATGTTGGAGAAAAAAAAGGGATTTAAAATAAAATACAAAGAGTCTAAACAATGCACTAAAACCTGACTTATTTACTCAGCTAGAGAGAACAATGATAATAATAATAACAATAATAAAACATAACCTAATCACTGCAATACAAACGTTGAACAACGAACCTTCAATTGACACATGTGGCTGAGATTATTGGGAAAGTGAGCTAAAGAAGATCTGTCATCACTAAAATAAGACGAAAGCAAACACATCACAGCAAATGCATGAAAAATATTCCTGTAATACCTACATACCTAAATAAATAAATAAATAAATAAATAAACGCCTTCACTACCCCGTCTGTCTGAGAGAAACGGCCAGATAGAGATTAGCTAAGAAGACAAGCTAAAATTATCATCTGTAAGGATCATATTATTAATTTTAGCACTTGGATAATACACAAAAATGTAAAATAAACGCAAAACAAACAAACAAATACACAAATACTGCGACACTGGATCTAGAAATCAGTTCACGGCGTTAGCATTAGCAACAGCTAACATTAGCATCAGCTAGGCATTTTTTACGCCGAAGTCTTCAATAAATTAATATTTTTTGAAAGTAAGAGTGAAAACACACACATATTAGCTCGATTTCAGCTCATTTAACCCGCGTAGATAGACCTAACGTATATTTTTCGGCATTATCGTTGCGCTAACACGCTAGCGTTAGCATTACGAGGCTGAAGTTGGCTTCCTATTCGAATTTGCCCGTTCCACCTTAAATGCTGCAGCGGTTACGTTGAGGCGCCCGAGGCGCTACGATGTAACTGCTGCAGCATTTAAGGTGGAACGGGGCAATTCGAACAAGAAGCTATTTTTAACGGCTGAATGAATCTTTCTGTGACAATTCGCCCTCGGCTCGGTTCTAAAACGAGTGTGGGTGCTGTTTATTTGTTCCTCCTCACCTTTTTGATGTTGTAGATGCGGGTTAACATGCCGACCCCCCGGTCGTTGAGGATGGTGAGTTTCTCGGCCAGTTTCTGCTGGCTGGGCTGCAGTACTGCCCGCGACATGGCGCCGACTCAAAGCTACCGAATAGCGCTGAAATAAAACCCTCCGTTCCGTCCGTTAGTGTTTTTCTGTAGTGTTAGGAGACGGATTGGCGAGTGTTTTTGTGCTTTAGTGTTCGGATCGGCCCATTCTCCGGGCTGAACGCTCCCTCTGCTCGGTTCTAGGTGTTGCCCTGCCTGTCCTGTTTCCTGCAACAGCAGCGCTGCAGGGAGGAGCACCTACGAACGTGTCCGGTCTTTGCCGAACCTCCCCGATTTGGTTTCCGAGTGTGTCCGAATTTTCCCGATGTTGTGTCTCGTCGTTGTCAGACGTTCTTTGTTAAAGGGGAACTTCACCGATTTTTCAAAATTTATTAAATGCATAATTAAATGGTTAAAATGTAAACGAAGTCGTTCAGAGTGGTTTGGTGTGAAATGCTCAGTTCTAGAGAAACTTACCAGACGTCCACCTCTAAAAGCACAGACAGTTATTACATGAAATGGTTATGAATACACTGCCTGATACCTAAGACATTGTTGTATGATAGATTTGAGAGAAACTTTTGAGCTACAATGTGCTTTTTAAAATTGATTAATGGTGGAGAGATGCATGTAGGGTGTTATAAGGCAAAGCAGTCCCCAATAAAACTTTTTTGCATCCAGGGTTTCCACTATTTTACCATCAGCATTCCATATAAAAGCTCAGGAGACACGTGTAGGTTCACTGGTGACCTATGGTTCCTATCACCACCACTGTAAAGAAATCTGAGTCTCTACAATCAGCCATTTCACATCAAACCACGCTGAATGTTTACATATCTAATATTATTATTAAAATAAAATGAGTCAAGAATTAAAATAGTGTGAAGTAAGTTATAATAATTTGTTATTAAAAGTAGAATCTGAGACCAACATCCTGCAACACATATTGCATTTCCTCTGCTCTTTATTTGTGTGATCTTGACAATGTAAATCTTAAGAGGTTTTTAAAAAAATAGCAGAAATAGTGCATAGTGCATAGACTTACAAGTAAACTCTTTAAGAGCCATAATTACCTTTTATATGGCAGAATTAATAGGCAAATATGAACTTATGCAGCACATGCAAGAAAAGATTTAATTATTTAAGAAGTGCATATGTTATTTAAAGGGCTTATATCTTACATTCCCCTGAGGTCCACCTATAATGTTTATATGGGTTTATGTACCAAAAAACAGTTGTAATTCATTTTTATATCATGATTTCTTCCCTCTTTTTATCCTTACGAATTAAACAGGCTGTGCCTTTAAGAATGATATATGTAAATGACCTCTGTTCTGATTTGGTGTCCTGTATTGTGCCTCACCAGCAGCTCTGAACCACTCCTTATAACTTCAGTGTGAGTGGGCGGGGCTAAACTGCTGTAGGTTGAATAGATGGTTATATGTAATTGTGCTGGTTTTGTGACATCACAAATATCTCGCCTTTAAACAGGCTGTTTTTGCAGCTTAGTTTTCCTAGATGGTACATTTTGAAACTTTAACAATGTTTACAAACCAAAAGGATTTTCCATGATATGGGCCCTTTAAGAATGTCAAAAAATGTCATTATGTGCTGTTACAGTTCCTCCCTTCAGGTGGCGCTATCCTTCTGAACCCCTCAGGTGATCATGTGCAGGTAATAATGAACCTTCTCAGCTTTCAGGCTGCAAAGGAGGCCATAGAAAAGTAGAGGACCATCGCTGTCGGTAGAGGAGCAGTAGTTAAGAGCGAGCAGCCCGCGGTCAGGCCTGTGTGGACACGGGGCCGTTATTCTGCTTTGGTGAGGAGCCTCTACACACATGTGATGCAGTCGCTCGCACAGGAAATCAAATCATTCTCCAAAAACAACTTGAGAAAACAATGCACCAGGGTGACGACTCTGAGTGGGAGACGGATTATTGAGACGTGGAAAGGATCGACAGTGCATGTGGTGGAGGACACAGGACAGCCCGAAACACCATGTGGATACGTGCAGGACAACACCTGGGACCTCCAAGTGGGATACATCAGACCCTATTTACTGGTCGGTAAGTGGGTTAATGATATCTTTGGCTTTTGTTTGTTTGTTTTTAAGTGGCTAAACAACAAACAGTTAAGTAACTCTTGTCATTTCTTTCAATGTCATGAAAGTGTATGGATGATCAGATGGGGACGTTAATACTAGACTAATCCATTCCATATACTGTATTTGTCATTATTCTAGGCTCACAAGATGCTGCCCACGATTTTGGCACTTTGAGGAAGTACAAGGTACCAAAATCCCTTTAGTATTATCACTTATCACAATGTTCTTTGTGTCAAAGGCTCCTGTTTGTCACTGTCCTCTAAGTTTAAGTCCTCATCAAGGCTTTTCTGTTGATTTCAGGTCACACACATATTGAACGTGGCGTACGGTGTGGAGAACGCCTTTCCTGAGCTGTTCATCTATAAAACACTCAGCATACTGGACCAGCCAGACACTGACATCATCTCACATCTCCAGGAGTGCTTGCAGTTCATAGACAAGGCCAAGGCTGAGGTAATTGGTGACCTGCAAAGCCGCAGTGAAGATGTTTTCATTACAGGTGCTGCTTCATTGTGGAGTTTACATATCACTGCTGTCGGAACGAAACCTCATTTTTTACTTTATGACATAATTTGAAAATACCTGTGGTGCTATATACTGTGTGTAAATTTGATGATGAATAGACCAACAGAAATGTCCCAAAATTACTTGTAAAAACGTCTGGTTCCATTGATTTACATTAAAAGTAAAGTATGTTTTTTCCTTCTCCTGTAAAGTTACCATTTTGGAGATAGGAGGTTTTGATCGGGCAACAGTGAAATGTGTATATATGTATATGTATTTGTATAGATGTGGGGTTTTTCTATGTGCATATACATATGTAAATATATATTTATATACATATACATATATGTACACATATATGTTCACATATGCATTTATATATGTATGTGTGTATTGTTGATATCATTCAAAAACCTTGTATCTGCTGGCACAATTTGCAAACTTAAACTCAACCCATCTGATTACATTAACGTCTATTACTAATCAAGCAAGGGATGTTACATCCTGTAAAGCTTTAGATATTTGAGGTTTTGTTCCAACAGCGACAAATGTACAAATACATGCATACAAAATTATCTAAATAGTTTGAATAATAATTAACTAGAAATAGTTTGAATAATATAGAATCTTGCATGTTAGACTATACAGACATTTGCGTGGGTGTGCATATGTACATATATATATATATATATATATATATATATATATATATATATATATATATGTGTTTATATATTCATATATATGTTTATGTATATATACATATATGTGAATTTGTTTTACTACATTAGCAGATAATTCCTCTTCCTTCAAGCATTATTTCTTATAACAACCAAAACTGTCTGTACATTCAGAGTTATAATTACTTAATATAACAAACACAATGTTTAGAAAAATTGTGAATAATTTTATAACATTCTCACAACAATCTCTTAAAAAGAAATGTTACATATACTGCCTGCATGTGCCAGGACATGGTTCTTTACAGCGTTATTAGAAGGCTATTTAATGTTCTCAAACTAATTTCCTGAGTGTTGCATTGTAGAGCCAGGCCTATCTGATACTGGCCGGTCAGCCGATGGCTAGCGTCTCTTATACGGGGCGCCCGCGGCTTAAATAATGAATGCTGAGTTTTCACCATGCATTATTTACTGCGTTGTAGAAAGATCATATCACTGCGAGGCCATTGTTTGTCATACAACCTCTTTACCAAATAGTAGCGCCAGTCACCCTTAACTTGACACTGTCACATGATGCAAATTCGCAAGAGGCTATGATTACAATGGCTATTGGAAATAAGTTTCCAGCCCTCTGTAAAATGAGTATGCTGTCTCCTGCTGGCTAGCGCCCTGTGTAACTCATGATCCGGGTTGTGTGTGTGTGGGGGGGGGTAGTCAATTAATCAAACCTTAGCTTGTTCCCCTTAGCTTAGTGAACTTTCATTCTCTCACCTTACAACTTGTAATTTTGCCATTGGTGTGTGATTAGCATAGTATTTGTTACATGAAGTACGCTGAAGCATATTATTGTGCTGTAATCGATACGCCTGCACACCGGAAAGATGAGTCCCTACGTTTCTGGCTCACTTTTGTGCATTTTCCACATCCTCATGGTCAGGGTCCTTTCAAACACTCTGAGAA